TTAAATTAAAAAAATAATAAAAGTTTAAAAATAAAATAAAATCATTTTAAAAAAAAGAATTGTATCTCATAATTACCTGAAATAAAAAAGTGGGGGGGCTGAAGAAAGACTGCAGGAGGCTTCTACCACTCCCTGAGAACCTTTCTGTACTATTTACTTTTTCTCACTGTGGATAAGCACTACTTTAAAAAATGTGAAAAGTGATTAATCACGATCGAGGGATTATTGTCCTTTTTGGTTTGTTTCCTTTTATACTTTATCTTAAAAGAGCATACTGTAGCCGGGCTGGTGTGGTTCAGCGGTTGAGCGCTGATCCATGAACCAAGAGATCAGGTGATGTATTCCTGGTCAGGGCACATGCCCGGGGTTGTGAACTTGATTCCCACTAGAGGGCATGCAAGAGGCAACCTATCAATGTTTCTCTTATCATTGATATTTCTGTCTATACCTCTCCCTTCCTCTCTCTAAAATCAATTAAAAAAAAAAAACACGTGTTAAAAAGAGCACACCATAGATGCAGGAAAGAAACAAAGGAAACAGGAAAGTCTGTAAACATTTCACATCTGATAAAGGAGGAGCCAAAAGCCGAGAGAATGAGAGGATCCATTGTGAAATGGGGTTGGAGGAAAGAGACAGTGACTCAGAACAAGTCAGACACCTCATGTCACATCAGGTCACATAGTCAGTTCTATTTGGATAACAACGCTAGATGCTAAAAATCATCGTAAATTTAAAAACTCTAAAAAATTAGTGAATTTCATCTTATGTTAAGGGAAATGACTTTCTAAGCTTCTGAGGAATAAAAATTAAATATTTCTACAGGTTTACCACTCAATGTCATACTAAAACTCATGAACTGATATGAACCAAAACTGTATGCACGTGTGTGTGCCCAGAAATTCTACTTCTAAATGCCACCCTACAAATAGGATTAGGTATCTAGACTAAGATTTATTATCATACTAGAGGCCCAGTGCATGGATCGTGCACCAGTGGGGTCCCGCGGCCTGGTCTGCGCCCTCTCCCAATCCGGGACCCCTTGGGGGATGTCAGAGAGGCGGTTTCAGCCCGATCCCCCCAGGCCCCATCCTCTCAGGGAGTGGTAGAAGCCTCCTGCATCTTTCTTCCCGTGCATTGAGTGTTTTCCCCCTGGTGGTCAGTTCATGTCATAGCAACCAGTCACACAGGCTTTTATATAATAAGAATTTTGTAATAAGTCTGATATTCCTATTGTTACGAGGAATGGCTTACTAAATTATTTTACAACTACACAGTGGACTATCTGCAGCCCTCATTCAGCCAGTCAACAAAGATGAGGGCGCCATCCTGTGCCTGCCTGTTCCGGACTCTGGGATATTGTGACATCTAGACAGATAAGAAGACCCAGGCATTCCACAGAGCTAACAGCTCCCTGCAGTGCAGCCCCTTCCCCTTCAGGTCCTGATCTCCCTGTACCATCCTTCCCCAGGACAGCAGTCCTGACCAGCACTGGCCTTTCCCTGCTTCTGACACAGTCCTGGGCCAGCACAAAGGCCAGGACCTGGCATGGCCGCTCCCACTCACCAGTAGAAGCTGTGCTTCTCCTGCGGGATGCACCAGGCCACCTGCCAGCTCTTCCTGTTCCTGCTCAGAGGACAATGAGTCTCTGTCGCTCTTGGCCAGGTTTCGGACATTGTCCAGAGCCTCAGCCTCTACTGGGGCTCGTAAGCAACCAAACCAGCCCTTGGGAAGGAAAAGAGCTGACTCAGGAGTCCACACCCAGGCTCCCTAAAGGGTCTCAGGGGACACGTAGGTTCTGCTGCCCCGCCCCTCCCAGGTTTCCCTCCTCTCAGGTTGGCAGAGGCTCAGCACATCCAGGACTTTGCTGTTAGCACCAGGACCCTGGTGCTGTGCTAAGGGGGTTCAGCATATGACACCCCCACAGCCCAGAGTGCAGGGCTGTGGGTCTGGGTGTCACAAGCAGCAGGAAGGACAGGGCCACTTTAGAGAGCCGGGGAGAGCAGCACAGGACAGACTGGGGCCACACCCACCCAGGGCCCTATTCTGGGCAGGAAGCAGTTCCTCACCACCTGATGCCACAGGTCCTGGAGAAACCCACTCACTCTGCTCCTGCTCTTGGTGGCCGCTCCAGAACCTAGAAGAGAAGGGGGTCTGCCTTAGCGTGGGAGGCCCTCTCTGCAGGGTCTCCCTGCTGGGAAGGGCATGGGCTGGGGCTCAGACACTGACAAGGTGCCTTGGGCCTGGTGACAGGGAAGGGCAATCCAACTCTGGGACACCCTCAGGAAGGGGAAGAAAGGAGGGAAAGAAGTAAAAGTAAACACATATCAAATCTCTGTTGGGTTCTGCTCTGATCAAAGCTGTAAACCACGCCCCGCTCCCGACCTTCTCCTCCCGACTCTTGTCACCCAGTTGAGGCACTGACCACCCCTCTGCCTTGGCTGAGGGCCCTGCAGACGTGAAGAACTGGCCTGCCCTCCCCGACTTGGCAGGAGAGGAGGTGACCATCAGCCCCAAGACAGGGGACTGATAGGATCCTGGCCCTCCACAGGTGCAGGTGAGGTGGGGGGTAGGGGTGATCCCAGGGAACAAGATCACAGCCAGGCCAGAAAGACCCAGAGATTTGGGAGACAGAGGGGTGGGCCTTTCTGTCTGAAGCAGGAAGTGAGGGAAGCAGCAGAGAGTGCCAGTGCCCGCCCATCACTCCTGCCAAACTCACCTGTAAGGTTATGGCTCCTGTACCAATATACAAATGTGCCCAGCAGGGCAAGGACTCCAAGCCCAAAGATGCAGGCAAGTAGGGTCACCCACCATGGTGTGCCTGAGGAGAGAGAGGGAGCAGTGGGTGCGTCCAGGCTGGTGGTCACTGGCTCTCCAGGAACTGGGGCCTCCCCATGGGCCTGGATACCTGATTTTTGGTCCACACACTCGAGGTTGTTGTTGGGGCCACAGTCCCTGGCCTTGACCTTGCCATTAGGGCACCTAGGTTCAAACACAGGGAGCATGTGAAGGGGTAAGAGGAAGAGAAAGAGGGAGCAACACCCACCCAGTGTCCCCTGGCGGGAGAGTGGAAAAAGAACAGCCTTCTCCTGTCTGCCCGACAGGCCCTCTCACCCCCTTGCCGGGTTCAGGAGGGACCTGATGCCACCTTCAGCCCCTGAGTGCTCCAGTTAAGTGTTCAGAGCTGTACCCACAGGAGCTGGGCCTTCTCTGTAAGGCCTGCACTGAGCTTCCCTGACCTGCAGGGGGAGCCCGAGTGAGGAAGTAGCTCACTCCAGCCACAAGCTGAGCCTCATTCTCTAGTCCAGTGGTTCTCAACCTTCCTAATGCCGCGACCCTTTAATACAGTTCCTCATGTTGTGGTGACCCCCAATTTCATTGTTACAAATTGAACATAATTAAAGCATAGTGATTAATCACAAAAACAATATGTAATTATATATGTGTTTTCCGATGGTCTTAGGCAACCCCTGTGAAAGGGTCGTTCGACCCCCAAAGGGGTCGCGACCCACAGGTTGAGAACCACTGCAGTCAACCCTCAATACAAGGACCCTCTTGTCCTCCACCCCTTGACTGTCCCCACCAAGCACAGCCACACTGTAAAAGACCAAATTACTATTGGCCCCTAAATCCCAATAACAGGGAAAACACGGTCTTATTGAGGGAGCAGGGCCCTGGGGGAAGGTGGCGGACCTGGCGCAGGGGTTTGAGGAACCCTGAAGGAGCTACAGGCTCGGGTCATTATGACTTGGCTGTGGACACTTACATGTTCATGGGCTCAGGCCGGCACCAAAAAACACACACACAAAAAAACCCAAAAAAACAAAACCATTTTGTGATTGAATTGCTATAAAGATGACTGCAAGTGTGGCTGCATTGTACACAATCCCTTCCTTCTGATATTAAGAAAACCTATAGCTTTACATGGGCCACTGACAGGCTCATAGGCCCTGATTAGCGGCCTACTGTGCCCAGTGGGAAGGTCAGCCTGGCCAAAGGGAAACCGAGCTGAGGAGGGGTGGGAAGAGGGTGCTGCAGCGGGAGCGTGAAGACACGCAGATGGCCACGGCGGGCTCTCGTGTCTTACCTTGTGTCGCACCGTAGGCAGTACTCAGGAGAATCCTTATCCTGGTAAGTGCCATTCTCGCATTGACACTGGGTGTCACTCGTCCTGGTGCATGCAGCTATTTGTACTTTACCTGAAGATAAAGGATAGGATTCGGGGGATACATTTCCATCACGTGTCCCTCAAACCATTTTTCCCCCCCCAACCCCCCCCCCCCCCCACATACACTCAGCTTCACTCAGTTCGACACAGATTTGAAGGTTAGTTTCTGCAGCAATGTCTGTGAGGTGCAAAAAGGACAGCACTGTTCACCTGTCCACAATAACCGCGTACATAAAAAAGGCCATGATTCTTTATTTATTACATCAGGATTGGGAGGAAATATCTATTGGTTTACAGGATGATTAAGAAGGGTCGGGTATAACCTGAGAGATCCTGGGTGGGGAGGAACCCTTGGGTGAGTTCCGAAAACTTAACCCTGCAGAGGGGCCTTAGGCCGTGAAGGCTGAGGAAGGCGGAGAGCCTGCCAGGAAGCACAGGGCCAAGAGGGGTCTGGCCAGGACAAGCCCCACATCCCGGCTCCAAACCAGCACTTTTCCACTCGGCCACCCCTTCCATGATGTGGCCATTGAGTCCTCCCTTCAAGGGACAGGTTATTCTCCCACCACTTCCATCTGATGGTTTAAAAGATGTCCCTCCTGTGTGGCATGCATTATAAAAATAATTTCTTTTTTCATTTTATTTTATTGGCCTAAGTCATATCATGAAAAAGGGTATGATGAAGACCACGCTGGGCTGGCAATTAGGTTTCTGATCCCCCATTCGATACAATTATCAACTCATTGTCTGGCACCCTAACCGTAGGCATGAGGTCTACATCTCTACCTGCAGGGCAGTTAGAGCAGGGGTGGCAAGAAGGGAGGCGGTTGCGACTACGGGTGAAACCCTCTTTTTCAGTGCATGGTGTACACACTCCGCTGCGTTCTGACAGATAGAATCCTGGGAAAAGAGAGAGAATTTGGTGAGTGAATGACCACAGGGCTCCTGGAGGCTGGCAGTGATGGCTAAGGGAGGCCTCTTTCAGCCATCAGTGGAATCCAAACAGGAAAATCCACTCACATCCCTTAGACCCGTGGTCGGCAAACTGCGGCTCTTTGGCCCCTTGAGTGTGGCTCTTCCTAAGCCTTAGGAGTACCCTAATTAAGTTAATAACAATGTACCTACCAATATAAATTTAAGTTTAAAAAATTTGTCTCTCAAAAGAAATTTCAATCGTTGTACTGTTGATATTTGACTCTGTTGACTAATGAGTTTGCCGACCACTCCCTTAGACCATCACTGCCAACAGAAATGTATTACAAGCCACACATGAAATTCAAATTCATAGTTGCCATGTTGAAAGGGTAAAAAGAGCCTTGTCGATATGGCTCAGTGTTTGAGCGTTGAGCTATGAACCAAGAGGTCATGGTTTCATTCCTAGTGAGGGTACATGCCTGGGTTGCGGGCTCGATTCCCAGTGTGGATATTTTAGGTTAAAAAATACATAGTGGAGCCCACCCCCTCGGTGGGAGCATGCGCGCGGCTTGGCGCCAATTGCGGACCGCCACAGCCTGTGCCAGCCCCGCGGGGCCCTGGGCGGCTTCAGGGTGATCAGCCAGAAGACACTGTACCCCTTCTCCTCCCCCGGCGCCGGCAAGGCGGAGGAGAGCGGGGATGCAGCGGTGAGCCCCGCCAAGAAGGCCCGGGCGGGGCAGGAAGAGCCTGGCACACCCATCGCCTCATCGCCACTGAGCCCCGAGCAGCTGGTCCACATCCAGAAGAAGAAGGCCAGGGCCCTGCTTAGACTCGCGACTCGCAACCTGCCGGTGAGTTCGGAAAACCGTATTTTAAAGGGTGTCCCAAAATTCACGCAAGAAGTAATTTTGATAGAAAACACAGGGTTATAATTAAAAATTGTAAATTTTTTATTGATTCATAAAGTATACAGTATAGGGTTATGTATGGAATAGAACATCGGGTAAATGGCCTCCACGGCTTTGCTGGCACATACGAAAAGCCGTGGTCTTCATTGGCCTTCATTGTCCCTGCTCCTGGGCCATAATTGGTACTTGGTAATGCTTATCAAATTGAAGGGATTGAAATCAAAGGGCAACAGATACTAGAATCTGATTAAATAAACCAAGTAAAATTAGGCTTTTATTTTTTGTTGTTGTTGTTAATGCTCACGCAAAATTCAAATCTTGCGTGAATTTTGGGACACCCTTTATAAAGCTAATGGGATTTGTTGCAGAAGAAGGAAGACATTACACTGTGTATCCACCCCCACACCAAGTCTTCACGTGGACCCAAATGTGCAGCACAAGAGACGTGAAGGTTGTCATCCTGGGACAGGATCCATACCATGGACCCAAATGTCGCCCAGTGTGGAAGACATTTACGAAGAGCTGTCTACAGACATAGATGGTTTTGTGCATCCTGGCCATGGAGATGTATCTGGGTGGGCCAAGCAAGGTGTTCTACTCAACGCTGTCCTAGCGGTCTGGACGTGGTTGTGTCCTGGCTAAATCAGAACTCGAGTGGCCTCGCCTTCTTGCTCTGGGGCTCCTATGCGCAGAGGAAGGCCAGCGCCATCGATAGGAAGCGCCACCACGCGCTGCAGACCGCCCATCCCTCCCCTTTGTCTGTGCACAGAGGGTTCTTTGGGTGCAGACATTGCTCGAAACCGACGAGCTGCTGCAAAAGTCTGGCAAGGAGCCCATCAACTGGAAGGATCTGTGACCCTGAACTGGGTGGCAGGGGGCCCTCTGGGCCGTTTCTAGAAGCTGCCATTGAAGTATTTGTCAGTGACAAAGTCGAATTGAGAAAATAATTGTCCGAGTGATGGTTAAGCACTATGCACACCAGGGAGAAAGTTTCAGTAAAGTGGCCATGCGCCAGGCCGCCCAGGAGTGGCAGCGTTATCCGGCGGAGACTGCACCCTGCGAGAACGTGTCTGTCTTTGCAACTTGGCTCTGGCCTAGAATACCCGTCAAAGTTTTTGGAAAGGAGAGGAAATCAAATTCTCTGGACTCTGCTCCCCTCTGTTTCTTTTATGGTTAAAGATGGTGAGACACACACCGTTTTAGTATCTAAGTCAGCTGCTCGCTTTTACCTGTAGGTTAAACGTTAGGTTATAAGGTGTTGGGTATTTTTATATAGAAAAGCCCCCTTTGCACATGGGCCAGGTCCATGCCCTTTGATCCTTTACAGAGCCCTCAGGCCCCTCCTGGAAGGAAATGGGAGTTTTTTTATTTTTGCCAGTTCCCAGAAATTAGGGGTCAGTTTCCTGGTTATAGCAGAGGAGAAAATTCCCAAGGAACAGCCCTTGCTGTGAGCCTTTAGACTGGCAGAGGCCAGGTGAGGTGGACGGGACCTTGTTTATATTGTTTTCTGGGTGTTTCTAGGAATAAGCAGTGGAAGTTGAACCGGAGGAGAAAGGGTTTTGTTGTGTTTTATTTTTTTAAGAAGGGAAATGGTTTTTCTCCCATGTGTATCCTGAAATGGGAGAAAAGGCAGCATAGTGCCAAATGCTGTTTTTTCTTGACTGAAATCACTTTGGGATACCATTTTCTGCAACACTGGAGGATTTCGCTCTTTTAAAAAATACATAAATGCCTGGCCAACGTGGCTCAGTGGTTGAGGGTCAACCTATAAACCAGGAGGTCACAGATCAATTTCTATGTGGATGTTTTGTGTTTTTAAAATATTTTTATTGATTTCAGAGAGGAAGAGAGAGATAGAAATATCAATGATGAGAGAGAATCATTGATTGGCTGCCTCCTGCATGCCCCCTACTGGGGATCGAGCCCACAACCTGGACATGTGCCCTTGAGAATCAAACCACCCAGGACCCTTCAGTCATCATTGATGTTTCTCTCTCCCCCTCTCCCTTCTTCTCTGAAATCAATAAAAAATATATTTTTTCAAAAAGGAGTAAAAAGAAAGGGGTCCCCGAATAGCCAAAGCAATCCTGAGGAGAAAAAAAAAAGCTGGAGATATTTTGCTACCTGACTCAAATTATACTGCAGAGCTATGATAATCAAAACAGCATGATATTGGCAGAGAAACAGACACACAGATCAATGGAACAGAATAGAGAGCCCAGCTATAAAACCACATGTATATGGACAGATAATTTTTGCAAAGGAGCCAGAAATACACAATGGAGTAAAGATAGTCTCTTCAGTAAATGGTGCTGGGAAAACTGGAAAACCACATGCAAAAGAATGAAACTGGATTACAGTTTCTCCCCCTGTGCAACAATTAATTCAAAATGGATCAAAGACCTAAATATAAGACCTGAAACAATAAGTGACACAGAAGAAAATATAAGTACAAACTTAGGGACTTTGGTCATGGAGAAAACTTTATGAACTTGACCTTGAAGGCAAAGGAAGTAAAGGCAAAAATAAATGAATGGAACTGTATCAAACTAAACAGTTCTGCACAGCAAAAGAAACTGGCAGCAAAACAAAGAGGCAACCATCCATATGGGAGATGATATTTGCAAACAATAGCTCCTACATAGGTTTAATTTCCAAAATATAAAAGAACTCATGAAATGCAACACCAAACGAACAACCCAATCAAAAAGTGGGCAGAAGACCTGAAAATACACCTCCCCCAGAATACATACAAATAGCCAATAGATATATGAAAAGATGTTCAACCTCATTGGCAATTAGGGAAATACGATCAAAACTGCAATGAGTCCCAGGTTCGATTCTGGTCAAGGGTATGTACCTTGGTTGCGGGCAGATACCCAGTGGGGAGTGTGCAGGAGGCAGCTGATCGATGTTTCTCTCATCGATGTTTCTAGCTCTCTATCCCTCTCCCTTCCTCTCTGTAAAGAATCAATAAAATATATTTTTTTTTAAAAAAAGAAGAGTGTCCATTAGCAACAAGACAAGCAATAACAAGTGCTGGAGAGGATGTGAAGTAAAGGGAACCCTCATTCACTGCTAGTGGGAACACAGTCTGGTACAACCATTATGGAAAGACATCTGGCGAGTCCTCAAAAAATTAAAAATAGAGCTACCATATGATCCAGCAACACCTCTTCTGGGTATATACCCCAAAACTCAAAAACATGTATTCGCAAAGGTATATGCACCCGTATGTTCATTGTAGCATTATTCACAAAGGCCAAGACATAGAAAGAACCAGTGTCCCAAGACAGTGGACTGGTAAAGAAGATGTGGTACATCTGAACAATGGAATACTGCTCAGCTATAAGAAAGGATGAAATACTGCCATTTGCAACAACATGGATGGACCTTGAGAATATTTGGCTAAGTGAAATAAGTCAGTCAGAAAAAGCTAAAAACCACATGATTTCACTCATATGTGGAATATAAAATTGAAACTCCTGAACACAAACAGCAGTGTGGTAGTTTCCAGAGGGAAAGGGGGTTGGGGGTAAAAGGGGTCCTAATATATGGTGATGGGAGATGACTTGACTTTGGGTGATGGGCACATACTGCAATATATGGATCTTGTAACGCAGAAACCCACACCTGAAATCTGTATGATCGTATTAGCCAATGTCACCTCGATAAATTTAATAAAAAAGGGGGAAAAAGAGAAAGAGGGCCAATTCATTTAACTATGTATTTTTTGACCTAACATTCAACATAGTATCAATTCAACATTTAATCAATACAACATATTGGGATAGTTTACTTTCTTGAATACCTCACTCAAAAAGTGAAATCTATGCTCCCTCCAGAGTGTCCAGGGCTTGTGGTCTGCTCTCACCTGCCCTTGTGACTTCTTTACCCCAAACTCACCCTACACTCACGCCAGCTGCCCCCCAGCTTTGCTCAAACAAGCTCTCCCCCTGCCCCTGGGACCATAGCTCCTGGGGGGCCCTCTCCGGACCACTGTGCGTGGCGCTCTGCACTAAAGACAGTTGCTCTCTGCGTCAAGGTCACATCCTCAGATGCCTCACCAACCCAGTCTCTGTCCCACCCATCACTCAATTATCCTCATGGTTCCTATCTCGTCTCTCTGTCACCTTCAACTGTCTGTCTGAGTCCATCTCAGAAGAACAGCTCCAGGAGGGCAGGGGCCTCCTGCTCTCCACCAGTACAGTGCCAGGCACTCAGGAGCCATTTAATAAATACCTGTAGATAAAGAACCAGGAACTTTGGAAATCAGAGGGCTGGGAACACCTGGAGACAAGTCGGGTAAGGCCTGGAGATCAGTGTTAGAATGTACCTGGCGGACACTCCTTCGCTGTGAGGCTGGCATGCAATCCTTGTGGGGCAGCTAGTTGCTGGTGAATTCTGTCTGGCTCTGTGATTGGGCGTGAGGCAACTGGGATCTGTGGGGACAAAGCAGGGATAGGCATCAGTGGCTTCCTGACTCTCCTCCCGCTCCGGACCCCTCTCACATTCTCGTCACCCCAACTACCTAAAGCAAAAAGAACTGGGACCTTTCTTCCAGCCCTATCCTAATTCTTCTGTTTCATGTTTGTCCCTTAGCCTTTGGGACTAGCAAGTAACTCACGCCTGAAAGAGTTTCCAGTATTCTTTTATCTTAATACTAAAACAAAATATATTTATTCCACATGTGCAAAGTTAATCATAAATGGTAAGCACCATTGCAACCACATCAGTAAATCCTCAAAACACTTCAATTCAATGATAGAAATGGTTAGAATGGATGAAGAACAAGACCCAAATACATACTGTCTATTAGAGATGCCATTTAAGAAAGCAAGACACAGATATATTGAACGCAAAGGGATGGAAAAAAGATATATAACATACAAATACTAAGCCTAAGAAAACTGCTGTGCTGTCTTAATATCAGATGAAGTTGGTTTAAGACAAATAGCATTACCACAAGTAAAGAAGGATCTTTTGCTGTGTGAAAGGGTTAATTCCTCAGAGTCATAATAATTATAAATGTATATGTGCCCAACAAAAAAGCTTCAAAACACATGAAGCAAAAATGGAAAGAGTTAAAATGAATGTAACACCCTTTTCTCAGCAACTAATGGAATGATCTGATGAAAACAGTAAAGTAAAGAAAGATTTGAACACTCAATCACCTTGACTTAATTGACATTCACATAACAGATGTGCAGCATCTACAGAAGACACATCCTTTTCTGGTGAACATGGTACTTTTTGAGTCCAAATAAACTTAAAAGAATTGAAATTATCTATATATATAAAAGCCTAATATGAAAATTGTGCCCTGGGGAGTTCAATCGGGAGATCGGGAGTTCAATTGATCACTATGACGTGCGCTGACCACCAGGGGGCGGCACAGAACGAAGGAAGGCCCCAAATGGCCCTGATCGCCAACCAGTCCTAGGGACCCTACCTGTGCACAAATTTTGTGCACCAGGCCTCTAGTATCATGTATATTCTCTGATCTTGATGATAATACATTGGAAATCAATAACAATACAAAGGCCTCCAATGTAATTAAAACCACAATGAAAACAAAAAAAAAATCACAGACATTCCAGAAAACTGGGATCTTAAGCCAGTCAAAGGAATGACATTTCAATTTTTCATTTTTATTTTTTTATTATTATTTTGTTAGCTTTTTTTTTTGCTTTTTTCTTTGTTTCCCCTTTTTTGTTTGTTGCTTTTTTTTTGCTTTTTTCTCTTTGTTCTCCTTTTTTGTTTGTTTGTTTGTTCCTTAATTATCTACTTCTTTTCACATTATTTTTTCAACCACGTGAACAGCAGACACATGAGTGGCACACTCTTGTCCAGGGAGTATCAGCCCCGTGAGCAGCCAGCCTTGAGCCTAAGAGCAGCAGCCTCATGTGGCCTGCCCCTGTCCAAGGAGCAGCAGCTGTGTGAGCGGCCCACTTCCCTGTCCAAGGAGCAGCAACCACGCGAGCAGTCCGACCTGTCCGAGGAGCAGCAGCCACATGAGCAGTCTTCCTACGTCTGAGGAGCGGCAGCACTGTGCAGCCTGCCCCCATCCGAGGAGCAGCAGCTGTGCACAGTCTGCACCCTGCACTAGTCCGAGGAGCAGCAGCTGCACAAGAATCTTGCCCTTGCCCAAGCAGCAGCAGCCGCACGAGCAGCCTGCCCAATCCGAGGAACAGCAGCGGTGTGAGCAGCCAGCCCCCATCCGAGGAGCAGCAGTTCTGTGAACAGCCCAGCCCCATTCGAGGCGCAGCAGGAGCCCACCCCAGTCAGAGGAGCAGCAGCCGCACGAGCAGACCATCCATATCCAAGGAGCGGCAGCCCTACGCAGCACGCACCGGTCCGAGAAGCAGAGCCACAACACCCTGCACCTGTCCAAGGAGCAGCAGCCGGGTGAGTGGCACGTCCCCATCTGAGGAGGAGCAGCCACGCGTGCAGCTCACTCCCGTCCAAAGGGCAGCAGCCTCGCAAGCAGCCCACCCCCGTCCGAGGAGCAGCAGACTTGCAATCAACCTGTCCAAGTCCTAGGAGCAGTAGCCCCACAAGCAGCCTACCACCTCAGAGGAACAACAGCAGCGTGCAGCCAGCCGCCATTCAAGGATCAGCAGCCACGTGAGCAGTCCGCCCCAGTTCAAGGTGTAGCAGCTGCGTGTGTAGCCCGCCCCCATCCAAGGAACAGCACCCACCAGAGGAGCTGCTGCCAACTGAGGAGCATCTGCTACCACAACCGCCCGAGGAGCAACCACAGCCCGAGGAGCCACTGCCACCCAAGGAGCAGCTCCTGTAAGACTCAACATCTAGATATGTTGGTGAGATCAAACATGGGTAGACAAAGAAATCCCCAAAGGAAAGAAAAGGAGGACTCACCAGAAAAGCAGCTAAGTGAAACAGAGGCATGCAGCATGACAGAAAAAGAA